GAAACATCTAGAAGTAGGTACGATGAAAGTGGGACCCCATGTTTGTGAAGAAAGCCTTGTAGATATATAAAAAATGGGGTCCTCAACTTCTCCAAATCGCTATAAAAGATGGGGTGAATATAAAATACCATCAATTGTTGCAAAATGTCATCAAAATTAATCATTAAATCAAGGCTTTGTTACATTCATTTTTCAGTTCCCTCAAAAAGAAAATCGATTTGATGAGATTTTACTCTGTTAAAGGGTTATATTAATAACAATTTTTTTTAAAAAAAAAATTAGGTCATGGTATCTTTGGGTAACAAAAATAAGAACTTAATATTTTATGAAACTTTAACAATGAAAAGGTTCTACAAGATGACCGTATAATTAAGTAATGTGGATATCATGCCATTTCTACATAATGTCCAGCGTGCTTTAAACTGCTTTAAAAATAAACTTTATTTGGCTTAAAATGCGATTGCCATTTCTACTCAATGCTCAATTTAGGACCTGTACTGTGCGGTGCTTTTCCCACCACAATTTTCTATAACATAAATTTAAACAAATTGCTTTTCTTATATAAAAAGAAATTTCTTCCACATATTAAGTTTACATCTGCTGAAAAATCTTTCAAAAAACCCCATTAACAAATAACAACAAATAACAATATGTTATACTAGTATTGTGGGGCCCTCAAAAGATGAAGAACCCTCCAAAAATAGAAGCTACTTGTTGAGCTTCTATTTTTGGAGCACCAAAGATGATTCACCATAGAAGTTAGAAATTTCACCAACTCCAAAAGAAGGTAACAAAAATAAATTTCTTACCTCCACACTGGATCAGCAATAGGTTGTGGTTCAACAACAGTCACATGCCCCTCAGTAGAATTAGCATTTTGTCGTTGCTTGTTTTTCCTCACTTTCTTCATGCAATTTGTTACCTCTATTCTGGCTTTACTTTGATCATGAGAAGATGTGTCTACTACCTTTGCTTCACAATCCTCACATAACCAAGTAACTTCACCAGTATAATCCACAGGCCCATCTAAACAATACCTGAAAAGGGATGTTGAGACTCATAAGGCCAATATGCATCAAGAATGTGAAACTACAAATCTTATAAAATGCATAATCTTCTGGTTTAGGAGATGATGTGAACCCAATTCAATACGTATCTGATGCCAAAAAGGAAGTTCATGGTATTAATACAATTGTATTGTACATCAACTCAGAAGAAAAGGTTCGAGGTATTAATAAGCACCATCAATACCGATAGAAATTTAAAAGAATGTCCACGTGCAAATAAAAAATAGGGGCATCTGCAGGTAATATGATGATGAAAACCTTCTAAATCATATTTTTTAAGCACTTTTAATTATATTTCTGCTTGAAAAAGAATAAAAATCATATAAAAATCTATGTCATATGACACAAAGCCTTGTTTGTGAGGACAAAATCGCTAAAAAGGTGGGGTGAATATAATATCCCTAACTTGAATAATTTAATTAATTACTTTTAATTTAGTAATTAAGCATGTATTAGTGAATAAAATTAAGAATAGGGCCTAATTAAGTGAGTTGGGGTCACTTTTGAGGTAAAAAGTGTACTCAGTGAAAATTAAGAGGTATAAATGGGTGTAGGCAAAAGTACCCAAAATATAAAAATAAAAGTGCAAATATCTCTAGAAAAATATTCCAAACCTTTTTGGTAAAGTTTGGTAGTGATTGGAGTTGAATAGATAGATGAGCCAATACCCGCTCAAAGCCACTTAACCAATGTTAAGTGACTTAAAGCAATGGAACCCACTGCATCCCCCCCCCCCCCCCCCCACACCCGTCGAGCAACAAGAAGAAAAGAAGAGAAGGAGAGGAGAATGAGAGAAAGGAAGAGAGAAGAGAAGCCAAACCCTAGCCACTCCTATTCTCAATCATTTTCTTTGATCCAAAAGCCTAAACCACTCCAAATCTTCCCCTCTTTCATAATCCAAGCTTGGTTTTGAATGGGAGTCTTTGTGGAGTGGGATATCATCCTCCAAAAATTCGACCCACAGGAGAAAGTGAGGGATTTGTTGGCTTCTACCTCCATGGAAGCTTGAGGAACAACCTTGCCTTGTTGTGTGATCCATGGAGGTGAGTTTTCCACTCTCTTTCACGCAAATTCCTTGAGTTTGCATGATTTAGGTTTTGATGAATAGTGTTTTTTGGGGTTTTATGAGTTTGAGTTTGATGGAGGCTTGGTGCCTTTTTAAATGTTGTTAGTGATGATAAATAAACAGTAGAAATGAGTTTAGATTGTCATTTGAGTATGGTTGGACATTTGAGTAAATTATGCTTAAGATTAAGGATGCTCTTGAATGTTAAGATATTGTTTATTATAGAATTGATTGTGTTCCTTGTATTAATAGGATTGAGGCAAGAGAACCAAGTGGAGTGACCATCCCTAGTGGTTGTGTGCAATTGAGGAAAGCTCAAGAGCAAGGTAAACATTTGGACCTTGGGGTTGATCCCATTGAGTGTTCCACCATACTCCGTTGAGGAGAAATGGTTTATGAGATGTGATATGTAATTATGATAGTAATTGTATGCTCATGCATTGATTCATGCATTGATACATGTTATGATTGATTGATGATTATTGGTTGATGTTTGATTGTTTAAGAGTAATTGAGGAATGGTTATAGAAGTAGCAATAATGAATGAGGTAATGGTTGAGGATTGTGATTGAGGTTATGAGTGATAATATTATGATGAGGATGATTAGTAGGAACTTCCCTTGGAAACAATCCTATGTGGATCTCCATGTGGTTAGAGCCTAAGAGGAACAGCCCTATGTGGATCCCTCTTGGAGGTTCCTAGATTGAGGAAAGGACTTCCCTTGGAAACAGCCTTAGGTGGATCTCCATGTGGTAAGAGCCTAAGAGAAACAGCACTTAGTGGATCTCTCTTGGAAGTCCATGTGATGCTTGTGGATAAGAATGTGTTAAGCTATTATGATTATGTGTACATCGAAAGTGAACCTTAGGGTGGAGTGATCTCCAAGGACCTCTGGTTTACTGTGATATATTCGTATATCTCACCCCGTGTTGTGGGGCATTATTTCAGGTACTCACAGAGGTGAGGTTGATCGAGGCAAGAAGCATGAGGAGATTGTACCTGATAGCAGGATATTTTGAGTTGCATGCCATTTAGAATTGCTATATGTATATTTTGATCTCACATTATGTATTTTGAGGGACTTAGTTCATGATCATTGTAGTGGTGAATGCCTTGTTGTAAATGGCTTATAGCTTTGATCATGTTCCTTTTGTAGCTAAGTCCTTGGGCATGTATATGAAATTTGTAAGGACAATGATGTAATTGAGACCTGATGATGTTGTAATTAATGAGGATCTATGTATGATGAAATGGTATGCTTGCTTCACTTAGTGTATGAGTACCTTGAAAGATTAGAATCCATGTATTGAGAGGATTATAGGATGTCAATTAGGTGAAAGACGACCTTTGGTTTGAAAATTTAAGTAAAAGTAAAAACGTCCTGTCTTCTTGTCCATTTTTCGTATTCTATATGATAAATTTGGACCCTTGTGTCTTGATGAAAGTTGTAGACATTTTTCTTAGCTTTCCAAGGAGACCAAGATTGTGGAAATAGGAGTAGTGTAACTAAAGTTATGGATGCAATACCAAAGGAGGCCAAATTGCCCTGTGTAGAGGGCTTAAGCCTGGAAATGGAGGCTTAAGCTCGTTCAGGGGGCTTAAGCGCCCAAGAGGGGGCTTAAGCGCTCTCTTGCCCTTGTGAGAGCCCATGCTCTCTGCCTCCGCGGGCTTCAGCGCCCAAATGGGGGCTTAAGCGCCCAGGGTAGCGCGCTTTAGCTCCCTGGTGCGCGCTTAAGCGCCCTTAGCTGCAAAAAGACAATTTCCTCTCTGCCAGTGGGCGCTTTAGCGCCCGATAGCGCGCTTAAGCGCGCGTGGCCTGTGTCCAATGTAAACATGTATTGTTATAATTTGTCATAACTTGAGCTACAGAGCTCCAAATGAGGCGCGGTTCGAAACCACGCGTAGCTAATGAAGAGAGGAGGACATTTAACAACCTTTGGTCTAATATAATAAGAGTATGATGTTAAGCTTAATTCATTTTATTCCGCAATGTAATATGATTATGATCACGCAATTGGGCATTTTAAATTCGACATGTTTTAAAACAAGAAAAAAGGAACCGGATTTTAATTTAACCCATGTGATTGTAACTGCGCTTAATATCATAATGCGATGTTAACAAATCAGTTCTAGAACGGGGTGTTACATTTTATGGTATCAGAGCAGTTTCGTAGGGAAACTTATGAATTGATGTTATGTTTGCTTGGAGCTTAATGCTTTGTAGTTGTTTTAGGCACTCTTTATGATTATTTCATTTGTGATCACGGAGTGTGGGCCTGATCAACTCATTTCTTTGTGTAACATGTGTAGTGTCATGACGAGGTCCCGAAACATCCCTGAGGCATCGAATGCCAATGCTCAGCCAGACCCTGTTTTGGCTGCTCTTGTTAGGCCCCGAAATGGTCGTGGGGCAACTGGCGGGCAGCCGGATCCCGTGGCTGAAACACTTGCAGCCGTGCAACGGGAGTTGACTGCTAGCCGGCAAGCCAATGAAAATTTGTGGAAGACGAATGAAGACTTGCGGAATGCTATGGCCGCGATGATGAACGAGTTGAGGACGTTGAGGGGTGCTAGACCTGCAAACCGGCAACCCACTCCTCCTCCTCACAGTGCCACGCCTACTCCACATACCCTCCATGAAGAGGGTGGAGTGGGTAACAATGAGGGAGATGCTAGTCACTAGTCTGGTAGTCATAGTCATCGCACTGAGGTTCGTCAACCACGTGTAGAGCATGTTGATGAACATGAAGCTGAAGAAAGACGATTGACGGCTTTCAGAAAACATAAACCTCCTCCTTTTGATGGAGGCTACGACTCGTTGGTGGCGGCGAAATGGCTCCAAGCTATGGAGAAGATTTTCAGGGTGATGAGATGCCCTGATGCACTGAAGTTAGTCTACTCAGTGTATATGCTTGAAGGTGAAGCCGAAGATTGGTGGACGAACACGGTGCAACCGATGGAAGCTGAAGGCCAGGAAATCACCTGGCGGTTGTTTGAGACTTTGTTCTTGGATAACTACTTTCCTAGGGAGGCTAGGGAAAAGATGCAAAATAAGTATAATGACTTAAAGCAAGGATCAATGACAATTGACCAATATTTTGCCAAGTTCAATGAATTGGTGAAGTATGCTAATTATGAGAGAGCCTTACCCACTCCGGCCGAGATGACCTCTAAGTTTCAATGGGGTCTGAATGAGAAGATGTCTAATTGCGATATCCGTGAGTTTAGCAAGTTTGTGAACCAATGCCGGAAGGTGGAAGAAGTTTATAGTATGCCAAAAAGCAAGAAGTCTTCCGAGGCACAAGCATCTGGTGCTAGTGGAGCAACTTGATCTACTTCAGAAAAGAGTAAGAAAATGGATTAAAAGAAAAAATTACAAGCGAGACAATCAGAGGAAAAGTTTAAAAGAAGCGGGAGTCAACAGAGTTGGGACAATGAAAGACCTCTTGTGCCCAAGTTTGACAATTGTGGCAGGCATCACAAGGGCGTTTGTTTGATGGGCCAAAATGTATGTTTCAAATGTGGCAGACCTGGTCACTATGCGAGGGATTGTCCCCAGATCGTGGGACGGGTTGCTCATGTGCAAGTGGTCTCTGATCCTTCAGGAGCGGCACATGTTAGCACGTCGACCCAACCCCAGTTAGAGGAGTTCCCATACTTGACGGAAGGTATGACGCATGTAGATTATTATGACATGCATAGTTTATTGAGGTTGGAGCCACACATGCCTAAACTGTGGACTCAATTATGATTGTGTGATTAGTTATGTCTAGTAATTAAAGACTAGGCTAAGCATAGATTGCTAAAAGATGATAAGTTGTATGCATTGACCTTTCCATGGAAGTGGTAGTATTACCTCCATGAGGATAGTATCCTATGAGATAGAGAATTCTCATTAAAGGTCTATTTTGAGGAGAACTTCCCTTGGAGTTAGCCTTCGGGACCGCCTTGTGGTCAGATACCTAAGAGAAACAACCCGTAGCGGATCTCTCTTGGAAGTTCCATTAGATGAGATTTTGTATGAGGTTATTAGTAGGACTGCAGAAGGTCAGGGTTAAATATCAAGTGAATAGGTATGACCTTTGAGGAAAATGAAAGATAAAAGTGCTTAAATATATTAGTATCACCTAATTATAAAATAGATTGAATCATGAATAAAGGATTTCATCTTATGATAAGATGATAAGGAAAAGAGGAAGTAATGAACGAGGTAACTTCGGGAACACAAGAAGGGTTCTCCGATACATCTCTAGTTGATTGGATGAGTAGCTTTGTCGATTTTGAGGACAAAATCGCTAAAAAGGTGGGGTGAATATAATACCCCTAAATTAAATAATTTAATTAATTACTTTTAATTTAGTAATTAAGCATGTATTGGTGAGTAAAATTAAGAATAGGGCCCAATTAAGTGAGTTGGGGTCACTTTTGAGGTAAAAAGTGTACTCAGTGAAAATTAAGAGATATAAATAGGTGTAGGCAAAAGTACCCAAAATATAAAAATAAAAGTGCAAATATCTCTAGAAAAATATTCCAAACCTTTTGGTAAAGTTTGGTAGTGATTGGAGTTGAATAGATAGATGAGCCACTACCTGCTTAAAGCCACTTAACCAATATTAAGTGACTTAAAGCAATAGAACCCACTGCATCCCCCCCCCACACCCGTCGAGTAACAAGAAGAAAAGAAGAGAAGAGAAGGAGAGAAAGGAAGAGAGAAGAGAAGCCAAACCCTAGCCACTCCTATTCTCAATCATTTTCTTTGATCCAAAAGCCTAAACCACTCCAAATCTTCCCCTCTTTCATAATCCAAGCTTGGTTTTGAGTGGGAGTCTTTGTGGAGTGGGATATCATCCTCCAAAAATCCGACCCATAGGAGAAAGTGAGGGATTTGTTGGCTTCTACCTTCATGGAAGCTTGAGGAACAACCTTGCCTTGTTGTGTGATCCATGGAGGTGAGTTTTCCATTCTCTTTCACACAAATTCCTTGAGTTTGCATGATTTAGGTTTTGATTAATAGTGTTTTTTGGGGTTTTATGAGTTTGAGTTTGATGGAGGCTTGGTGCCTTTGTAAATGTTGTTAGTGATGATAAATAAACAGTAGAAATGAGTTTAGATTGTCATTTGAGTATGGTTGGACATTTGAGTAAATTATGCTTGAGATTAACGATGCTCTTGAATGTTAAGATATTGTTTATTATAGAATTGATTGTGTTCCTTGTATTAATAGGATTGAGGCAAGAGAACAAAGTGGAGTGACCAACACTAGTGGTTGTGTGCAATTGTGGAATGCTCAAGAGCAAGTAAACCTTTGGACCTTGGGGTTGATCCCATTGAGTGTTCCACCATACTCCGTTGAGGAGAAATGGTTTATGAGATGTGATATGTAATTATGATAGTAATTGTATGCTCATGCATTGATACATGTTATGATTGATTGATGATTATTGGTTGATGTTTGATTGTTTAAGAGTAATTGAGGAATGGTTATAGAAGTAGCAATAATGAATGAGGTAATGGTTGAGGATTATGATTGAGGTTATGAGTGAAAGTATTATGATGAGGATGATTAGTAGGAACTTCCCTTGGAAACAGCCCTATGTGGATCTCCATGTGGTTAGAGCCTAAGAGGAACAACCCTATGTGGATCCCTCTTGGAGGTTCCTAGTTTGAGGAAAGGACTTCCCTTGGAAACAGCCTTAGGTGGATCTCCATGTGGTAAGAGCCTAAGAGAAACAGCCCTTTGAGGATCCCTCTTGGAATAGATTGAGGAAAGGACTTCCCTTGGAAATAGCCCTATGTGGATTTCCATGTGGTAAGAGCCTAAGAGAAACAGCCCTTAGTGGATTTCTCTTGGAAGTCCATGTGATGCTTGTGGATAAGAATGTGTTAAGCTATTATGATTATGTGTACATCGAAAGTGAACCTTAGGGTGGAGTGATCTCCAAGGACCTCTGGTTTACTGTGATATATTCGTATATCTCACCCCGTGTTGTGGGGCATTATTTCAAGTACTCACAGAGGTGAGGTTGATCGAGGCAAGAAGCATGAGGAGATTGTACCTGATAGCTGGATATTTTGAGTTGCATTCCATTTAGAATTGCTATATGTATATTTTGATGTCACATTATGTATTTTGAGGGACTTAGTGCATGATCATTGTAGTGGTGAATGCCTTGTTGTAAATGGCTTATAGCTTTGATCATGTTCCTTTTGTAGCTAAGTCCTTGGGCATGTATATGAAATTTGTAAGGACAATGATGTAATTGAGACCTGATGATGTTGTAATTAATGAGGATCTATGTATGATGAAATGGTATGATTGCTTCTCTTAGTGTATGAGTACCTTGAAAGATTATAATCCATGTATTGAGAGGATTATAGGATGTCAATTAGGTGAAAGAGGACCTTTGGTTTGAAAATCTAAGTAAAAGTAAAAATGTCCTGTCTTCTTGTCCATTTTTCGTATTCTATATGATAAATTTGGACCCTTGTGTCTTGATGGAAGTTGTAGACATTTTTCTTAGCTTTCCAAGGAGACTAAGATTGTGAAAATAGGAGTAGTGTAACTAAAGTTATGGATGAAATACCAAAGGAGGCCAAATTGCCCTGTGGAGGGGGCTTAAGCCTGGAAATGGAGGCTTAAGCTCGCTCAGGTGGCTTAAGCGCCCAAGAGGGGGCTTAAGCGCCTTGCTGCCCCTGTGAGAGCCCATGCTCTCTGCCTCCGCGGGCTTCAGCGCCCAAATGGGGGTCTAAGCGCCCAGGGAAGCTGCTTTAGCGCCCTGGTGCGCGCTTAAGCGCCGTTAGCTGCAAAAAGACGAGTTCCTTTCTGCCAGTGGGCGCTTTAGCGCCCGATAGCGCGCTTAAGCGCACGCGGCCTGTGTCCAATATAAACATGTATTGTTATAATTTGTCATAACTTGAGCTACAGAGCTCCAAATGAGGCGCGGTTTGAAACCACGCGTAGCTAATGAAGAGAGGAGGAAATTTAACAACCTTTGATCTAATATAATAAGAGTATCATGTTAAGCTTAATTCATTTTATTCCGCAATGTAATATGGTTATGATCACGCAATTGGGCATTTTAGATTCGGCATGTTTTAAAAAAAGAAAAAAGGAACCGGATTTTAATTTAACCCATGTGATTGTAACTGCGCTTAATATCATAATGCGATGTTAACAAACCGGTTCTAGAACTGGGTTTTACAGGCCAACGGCAGGTATGACTGGCCCATAGGAAGACACCACCTCAGTTGCTTTTTATACTGGAGTGAGAGGAAAAAAGCATTTTTTATACTTTACATTATGTTCTTTCGAGAGTGCATATTATAAATTACAAAAAATGCACCCAATTCAGTACCACCATAATACTAAAAATGCACTCTATAACTAGAAGATTTCTCTTGCATGGGCTACAACACCTTAGGAGGAGGTTTTGGCTTTTCAAAAACCCAATATTTCACCCAAGTGGTTAGCTTCTCCACCCACTCTTAATTTCTCTAACTATCCTCACCGCCACCGCCTGCATCATTTTGTCACACAAAACCACTTATAATTTATGGAACATTAAAGGATAAAAAGGGTAATTGGGGGTACCTAATGTGAGAAAGATGAATGTTTACAACACCAAATGACAAAGCAACAATGTCGACCAAGAAACAATGGTGAAAACCCTTACCTACTCATAGAAACACAAAGAAAATCTGTCATGCAAAGAATTTCAGAGAGAAAATAAAGAATGCGTGTAAAGGAAGATAAGGAAAGCAAAATGTGGGGTTGAGGTGTATTACTTTAGTAGATAGTTTCACAGTCGCTTTAATTTTGTATTTTTTTATTAGGAATACAATATTTAAATTTGTTTGCCACTTTTTTTTACTAAATTTTTGGTAAATTCTGTAGATATCTCCCCTCAAATATTTTCAGACAGTGTATTTGTACCGTTGAGAGCTGCAAGCCGAATATGTTCCCTTAGAGGGGATGAATATCACTATATAGGGGTTGTCGCTAACAAAGTAGACACCAAGTTAAACGACGATGTCCCACGTATGAGGTCAGGATCTGGAAGATAGGGTGTGCCTGTGATAGCAAGGGCATGGAGGAATGACAGAGTAACGACACATAAGATGCTCTTTTGCTGAGTGATAGAAGAGTATTTATAAGGGAGAAGATGCCCTACTCGAAATGGGGGACGAGCCGGGTCAATTCTCCATGGAGAGGGCGATGGGCGTCTGTCACCGATGCCGTTGCAGAAGTGAAGCCCCTGCTATGCTGGTGGCAATTGCTGCTGCTGCTGTTGCTATGGAAGGGAAACTCTTATTTAGGGGGTCTGAGAAGGC